CCCCACCCCCTGTTCATAAAAGTAATAGTCCGTCCGTACATTACAGGAAGGGCGAATGTACCCTCTCCCTATTTGCGTGCTGTCCAATATTTCAATTTTTCTCGCGCGCGAAGCCAAAACGGAAAAGCCAAAAGTGCTCAGAAGAGCCGCTCAAATATCGTATTTTGCTGCCGAAAGAGGTTTGACTCAGTTGAATAAATACAAGTTCAGAATTCGAACGAGCCGCACAAAATGAAGCAATGTGATTGGCTAATTAGCGACCGTCGCCTGTCACTCACTGCAAGTCAGTCTCAGCAACGAAACTCGAACGCGTTGTTCGATCAATCTGCCAGTTTATGAACACTGCGTACGGTCGCAATTTTTATGCAATGTCGGACTCAGCTGTCCATGAAGAACTTGAAGAAATAGAACAGGAAAACACGGTAAAGTATTTCTTCATTGCTCGTAAACACAATTCAATTGTTTTTTTTTGAAGATCGAAATGGGATCGAATTTCACTATGAAAGGGTAATATGAACAGACAAGGTCGCAGTGCAAACGAAGAAGGGTTGTTACGATTTACGCTTAATTTCCTCTCATATCTCCCCAGGATCAAACTGTAGGATGTAAAAGAAAAGGGAAAGTGAGAAAAGGGAGACCAAGAAAAACAGTTGCACAGGTATGTCCTTCAATTTTTAGATGTAAGTAGTAATTTTGCCGAGTATTGAATCGAACGCGGTTTTGTGGCAAACGATGGCTGCGATCGCATCGCGGTGAGGATGTGTTGTTTTCACACGTGTTTTTGACCGCATCTCACAACCATTCGGGCAATCCTGACGTTGTGTTTGACTAACAACTTCTTGATTTAAAGTAATTACTCCAAAAAAAGGTACTGGTATGATATTGTACTCACAATGGCGACTTGTTTTTGCACTTTGCCCGCCATTTTAATATGGCGCCGGAATAATTTTGTGACGGTTCTGCAGTCGCGTCGTTAAAAATGCTTTCAATTGTCGTCAAACTAGCGCTAGTGCTTTGTGCATGAAAATCGTGAGGAAATTCTTTTATATCGTAGATAATCCTTGACTAAACTTTTGTTATCCATCAAATTCAATGAATACTTCATAGCTAAGAAAACTTTTTGGGGGATGGGTAGCATAGTACAGCATAAGAGGGAGAGGTGTTGATGGTTTTATTTATTTGGAGAATTTTCAAGCGAAATAGGCTTTAATCTAATATCAGTGACTAAAGAATTTGTAGGATAAGTCCTTATATTTTGAAAGCAAAATTATGTACTAAGTAAGTGGTCAGGTCTCAAACAGGATTGAAGCAAAAAGATATTCCAGCCTCCCCCACCCCACCCCCCGACTCTAGAAGAAACCCTCGAGTAGATTAGCCATTAGGTATCCATGAATGCAGAGTTCACTGGATTTCAAGAATTAAAACATCTACAGGTAAAACTGTAGAATATATATGAGAGTGAATATCCCAGGCTCGTATATGAAAAGGTCGCAGATGCTCATCATCTCGTTAAGGCCGATATAAATCAAGGATTCTGGTCTCACTTAGGGTGTTGATGATGAAACGCCACTATTTTAAGCTGTCAAAGTATCTTTTAGGGTGCACCCACTTGTAGTACATAAATCCGTGATTGCACTCACATTCATGTAATGCCTACCTATACTAATTACAGATTTATTGTCCAATCTCAGCTTTTAATGTCTCCAATTTTTCTAGTAAAAGTAAAATCTGGAAAACTGCTGGTCTTTTACCCTGGTTCAAAGCTATTCAGAAATTTAGAGATTTTTTCGTCCATACCCATGTTTGCATAGCCCAAATGGCCAAAGTTAAATAAAACAGGATACAAGTTTTTCAAACTACAGGGCTTTTTAACAGTGCAAATATGGGATGTATCAGTAATTTTTCAGTATAGCTCTTGGGATTTATTTCCCAGTAGATTTCTTTTCTTCTTCTTTAAATTTTTTTTT